CCTGAACATCCCCTGGGCCCAGCAGCAGCTGGAAATGCCGGAGCCCGCATCCCAGCCAGGAGCTCCACATTCCAACCACATCCTGGAGCACCAAAGTCCATCCCAGCGCCAAAATCCATCCCAGAGCGAAAATCATCCCAGCGCCAAAATCCATCCCAGAGCCAAAATCCATTTCCTGAAGAGAGGCTCAGTGCCAAAATCCATCCCAGTGCCAAAATCCATCCCAGCGCCAAAATCCATCCCAGCGCCAAAATCCATCCCAGAGCCAAAATCCATCCCAGCGCCAAAATCCATCCCAGCGCCAAAATCCATCCCAGCGCCAAAATCCATCCCAGAGCCAAAATCCATCCCAGAGCCAAAATCCATCCCAGAGCCAAAATCATCCCAGAGCCAAAATCCATCCCAGAGCCAAAATCATCCCAGAGCCAAAATCCATCCCAGCAGCAAAATCCATCCCAGCGCCAAAATCCATCCCAGCGCCAAAATCCATCCCAGTGCCAAAATCCATCCCAGCACCAAAATCCATCCCTTGGAGAGACCCCCAGTGCCAAAATCCATCCCCAGCACCAAAATCCATTTCCTGAAGAGATGCCCACTGCCAAAATCCATCCCCAGCACCAAAATCCATCCACAGCACCAAAATCCATCCCCAGCACCAAAATCCATCCACAGCACCAAAATCCATCCCCAGCACCAAAATCCATCCCTTTTGAAAGAGCTCCAGCACCAAAATCCATCCCCAGCATGAAANCCAAAATCCATCCACAGCACCAAAATCCATCCCCAGCACCAAAATCCATCCCTTTTGAAAGAGCTCCAGCACCAAAATCCATCCCCAGCATGAAAATCCATTTCCTGAAGAGAAGCCCAGTGCCAAAATCCATCCCCAGCACCAAAATCCATTTCCTGAAGAGAAGCCCAGTGCCAAAATCCATCCCCAGCACCAAAATCCATCCCAGAGCCAAAATTCATCCCTTTGGAGAGAGCCCCGGCACCAAAATCCATCCCCAGCACCAAAATCCATTTCCTGAAGAGAGCTCCAGCACCAAAATCCACCCCAGCACCAAAATCCATCCCCAGCACCAAAATCCATCTCCTGGAGAGAGCCTCAGCACCAAAATCCATCTCCACCACCAAAATCCATCTCCACCACCAAAATCCATCCCCTTGGAGAGAGCTCAAGCACCAAAATCCATCCCCAGTGCCAAAATCCATCCCTTGGAGAGAGGTCCAGTGCCAAAATCCATCCCAGCACCAAAATCCATCCCCAGCACCAAAATCCATCCCAGCATCAAAATCCATCCCAGCACCAAAATTGATGTCCTGGAGAGAGCCTCAGCACCAAAATCCATCCCCAGCGCCAAAATCCATCCCCAGTGCCAAAATCCGTCTCCAGCGCCAAAATCCATCTCCACCACCAAAATCCAGCCCCAGCACCAAAATCCATCCCCAGCACCAAAATCCATCTCCACCACCAAAATCCATCCCCAGCACCAAAGTCGATCTCCTGGAGAGAGCCTCAGCACCAAAATCCATCTCCACCACCAAAATCCATCTCCACCACCAAAATCCATCTCCAGCACCAAAGTGGATCTCCTGGAGAGAGCCTCAGCACCAAAATCCAACTCCACCACCAAAATCCAGCCCCAGCACCAAAATCCATCCCCAGCACCAAAATCCATCTCCACCACCAAAATCCATCTCCACCACCAAAATCCCTCCCCAGCACCAAAACCCGTCCCCAGTACCAAAATCCCTGTGCAGGCAATCCCAGCTCCAGCTGCCTGCAGGCGCTCCAGAGGCGCAGGAGGCCCGCGGAGCTCCCCGAGCCCCCCGGAGCCGCTCACCGGTGGTCTCGACGATGCCCTCGAGGATGACGACGATCTCGAACTGCTCGCTGCGCATGCTGCGCTGGGACAGCTCGTAGAAGGGGCTCTTGGCGTCGATGACGTGGCAGATGGTCAGCGGGGACACCAGGAACAGCTGGTCAGCCCCCGTGCTGAAGCCCACGTCCAGCTCCAGCTGGTCCAGCGGCAGGAATTCCCCCTCCGGAGTCTGCCGGGACTGTGGGAGACAAGGAGGGGAAGGGACCTTGGAGCTCCTCGTGCCCGGAGAGCCCAGGGAGAGCTGGGACACGAATCCCTGCGCCAGAATCTGGGATTGAGAGACCCTCCCGCCAAACATTCCAGGAGGCTGGGACTTCAGCAGGTGGGATCCAAGCATTCCAGATCCAAACATTCCAG